ACAATTATAGTAGTATAGTGCAAATTAACATATTTTATTTTTAATTAGTGATTTTCAGGGGTTCGGTTGGTAAAGTTTCAACTTATTTGAGCTTGTTTCAGCTTATTCTCTCTCACAGAATATTATTGAATCATCCGAAATCATCCAAAATCTACTGTGCACTTTACCAGCCGAACACGCTGTATAATAACAAGATTAGTGTCGGTGCATATTTATTATGGTATAATTAATTGTTATTTTTAAATAATAGATATAATTAGTCGAGTATTCTTGTCTCATATAATCTCATCCATCTAATCAAATAGAAAAATAACTAGTTCCATCCATCAACCAAACAAACAATATGGATATTCATATCCTGAAATTTATGGATACCAATATCCCATTCACCAAACATACCCTAAGTGGCGGGGCCCTGGCGCTGGCCAGCCTGGGACCTCGGCTCGGTGACGCGACGGTGCCACGGTACGCAGCAGGAAGCAAAAGCCTCTGAACCGTCGGTCACTCAGGCCTCGCTTAAATTAGGACGTAAAGTTTCGAGGTTTCACATCGAATATCATATGGGATGTCGTATAAGGTATTTGAATATTAATAAAAAATAAATTACAGAATTTATCAGTAAACTGTGAAATAAATTTATTAAGTTTAATTAATCTGTTATTAGCACATGTGTTATTATAGCACCACATTGTTAAATTATGGACTAATTAGGTTTAAAAGATTTATCTCGCAAAATTGTCATAATCTGTATAATTAATTATTTTTTAATATATATTTAATAATCTATGTATATATATAAACATTCGATGAGATAGTCTATAAACTTTTAGAGAGACTAAGGTCTGGTTTAGTTTTCAAAAATTTTCAACCCAAATTATCACATCGAATCTTACGGCACATGCATGGAGTATTAAATATAGCGAAAAAAAAACTAATTGCACAATTTGGTTGAAAATCACGAGACGAATGTTTTAGACTAATTAGTCCATGATTAGCCATAGGTGCTACAATAACTAACATGCGCTAATGATGGATTAATTAGGCTTAATAAATTCGTCTCGTAGTTTCCAGACGAGCTATGTAATTAGTTTTTTTATTAGTATCCGAAAATCCTTTATGACATCAAAACATCCGACGTCATATTGAAAAATTTTCATTCATCGAAACTAAACACAGCGTAAACAAAAGCCTCCGCTACGGCGCTCCCTCACCGGTCACCACTGACCCTGACCGGTGACCACCATCAAAATCACCACGAAAACGCATGAAAAGCTGCGTGCGCCGGACCCTTTCCCTCGACACGACACGGGAGGCCGCGCTCCCCCAAGATCCGCCCGGCTCCCACCAGGCCACGAGCCGCGACACCGCTCCACTCCAGTCGTGGCGTTTTGTGCCGAGCCCGCGTCCTCGTTGCAGTCGCGGGTCACGAGGAACTCGATCGCCTCTCGCTTCTCGGCACCTCGGCTCTTGGCTGTTGTTGGCTCTTGCCCGCCATGGGCGCCATGCCATGCCAGGCGAGTCGGCAGAGGCTTTGGTGGTGCCATGCCAATGCCATCACCGCGCTGTTGCAGTTGTCCCCCATGACCGCATCAATCATTCGAACGGACACAGGGCCCTACGGCCCCTACCGGAGTACTGAATTTGTACCCGTCCCTCTGACAATCCATGTTAAAATAAAAAAAAACAACGGTGTTAGATTTATAAATTATTTTAAAATAAAAAAATAAACTATAAATCTAACATTGTTGTTTTTTTATTTTCAAATCTAAATTTTTGGTCGTGCCAAAGTCCGTGACGTGGCTAAAATACGTTGCAGCGCCACGTGTATCGGCGTGGCACGATCTGCCACGTCGGACAACGATTTTCACGTGGAAATCATTGCCGCGTCAATGCTGTTGACGCGGCAACACTGTAGCGCCACGTCATCTAGAGACTGATGCAGTAAGGTGTAACTTTAGAAAAATTATATCTTTTTTATATGATCTTGGATGAAGATGATCTTTATATAAAAATTATAGCTCTCGACGAGATCTACAACTTTCTAGTTTTGAGTTTTTTCATTTGAGATCGTTAAAATGCTCAAAAAATTAAATAAAATTTCAACAGTATATTAATCGCGTACAAGCGCTTGTCGTCTGGAAAAAAATCATATCATTCTTACCTGGTGTCAAATAAAGATACTTTCTCTATGAAAGTTGTAGCCCTAGATGGGATCTATAAATTTGTAGTTTTGAGTTTTTACATTTGAGATCGTTAAGATGCTCAAGAAAAATAATATAAAGTTTCAGCATCGTATTAATCGCGTACATGCACTTATCGTCTTGGAAAAATCATATCTTTCTTATATGGTGTCAAATGGAGATATTTTCTATATGAAAGTTATAACTCTCGATGGGATCTACAAATTTATAATTTTGGGTTTTTACATTTGAAATCATTAAGATGCTTAAAAAATATTAATATAAAGTTTCAGCATCGTATTAATCACGTACAAACGCTTGGTCTTGGAAAAATCATATCTTTCTTATACGACGTCAAATTGATATACTTTCTATATGAAAGTTATAGCCCTTTATGGGGGTCTACAAATTTATAGTTTTGAGTTTTGCATTTGAGGTTGTTATCGTCGGCGCGCGATGTGACTGATTACTATTCGAAAGTCGGCTCCGGAATTCAAGTACTAAAAAAACAGATGAAGATGATTGATTTGTTAAGCTGATGGTAGATAGTTTAGTCACGCTATTACTATCTCATTACACTTTCATCGTATAAAAATTTTATGGAAAGATGGTCAAAAAAAAATTACGCAATAATAGACATCGTTAACTGTAAATTGGCAAGATCTAATAAACTTAGAAATTAAACTATGACCTTAACATATTCCTTTTATCGCTTAGTGTAACTGTATTCTCTCTGTCATTTTTTTTGTACAAAAAAGGGTATTTTCTCTTTAACTAATGGTCAAGCATGTGTGGCACGCACCAGAAAAGATTTTTTCTGAGGCGTTAAGCTCAAGTACATAATTAATATACTGCTAAAACTTTATATTATTGTTTAGCATCTTAATGACCTCAAATGAAAAAAAATCAAACAATAAAGTTGTAGATCTTATCGAACTTTCAGGTGGTGAACTAGACTCAATTCTGCCCCAGGAAGCTCAATAATTTATTTGATCTAAATTTCTTTGGGTAGAATTTGAATTGTGAACTCGAGCTTGTCACGTACCAGCGGCAGTGTCGCGTGGGAATTTAACACTTGTTCAAGTTTGTTTTAAACATGCCTAGTGACATCGCGTGCCCAAGATAACGATCTCAAATGAAAAAACTTAAAACTATATATAAAGTTGTAGATCTCATCAAGAGTTACAACTTTTATGTATAAAATATCTAGTATCTCCATTTGACACCATATAAAAAAGATATGATTTTTCCAAGACGACAAGTGGTTGTACGCGATTAATACGATGCTGAAACTTTATATTATTTTTTAAGCATCTTAATGATCTCAAATGTAAAAATCCAAAACTATAAATTTGTAGATCCCACCAAGAGCTATAACTTTCATATAGAAAGTATCTCCATTTGACACCATATAAGAAATATATGATTTTTCCAAGACGATAAGTGCTTGTATGCGATTAATATGATGCTAAAATTTTATATTAATTTTTTAGCATCTTAATGATCTCAAACGAAAAAACCCAAAACTATAAATTTGTAGATCTCACCGAGAGTTATAACTTTCATATAGAAATTATCTCCATTTGACACTATATAAGAAATATATAATTTTTCCAAGACGACAAGTGCCTGTATGTGATTAAACGATGCTGAAACTTTATATTATTTTTCTTGAGCATCTTAAAGATCTCAAATGCAAAAACTCAAAACTACAAATTTGTAGATCCCATCGAGGGCTACAACTTTCATATAGAAAATATCTCCATTTGACACCATATAAGAACGATATGATTTTTCCAAGACAACGCTTGTACGCGATTAATATACTGCTAAAACTTTATTTTTTTTAGCATCTTAACGATCTCAGATGAAAAACCTCAAAACTAGAAAGTTATAGATCTCGTTGAGAACTATTATTTTCATATAAATATCATCTTTATTCGAGATCGTATGAAAAAGATATAATTTTTCTAAAATTACGCCTTGCCACGCCAGTCTGGATGGCACGACGTTACAGTGCTGCGCCGCCAACAGTAGTGGCGTGGCAAGGATTTCCACGTGAAAATCGCTGTCCGACGTGGCAGATCGTGCAGCGCCGATGCATGTGACGCGGCAGCGTGTTTTGGCCGTGCCACGGACTTTGGCACAGCCAAAAGTGTCAGATTTGAAAATAAATAAGCAACGGTGTTAGATTTAGAATTTGTTTAAAAAAGGTTAAAAATAAAAAAAAATCCCATGAGACACTGGGACAGGCCTCCATGTATGGGCATGGTCTTGGCCTCGGTCCCCATTCCCCACGGACTCAAAAGGGAAAACCGGGAAGCAAGAGAATTTTTTTACAGCAGGCTAGTTGCCGGTGCTAACACAAGCGACAGTGCAGTGCAGTGCAGCAGTGGCCTGAGAATCCCAGTGGCATGATCCAGGAGTAGGAAGCCCAGGATCTGGAGCCAGGATAGCGTAACAGTAACACTGCCCAGATGATCTTCAGCCAACCTTAAACAGTGCTCTGATTGAACAGAGAATAATCCCAGCTGAATAACAGAACAAGTCAGTAAAAGCAACCTGCACATAAGCCCATTCCTTTAGTTGCACTTCGATTTTCCCAGCAAAACTCTATTTTAGTACACTTCACACAATCCCAAACCACAGGGGAAAAAGATGTGAAATAACGGAGAAAAATATCTAGTGCCTAGTGGTGTCTCAAGGAGAAGACAGCATATTTAGAGACTCAAAGGGCGCCAGATACCTCTTGTGAATTTGTAACCAAAATGCTGCAAACTGCAGGTTTAACTCATTGAGACCATCAGACAGACGATCCATCTACTCCGTGCTCCGTGATATCACCTCACCAAACTTCATGAAGAGCTCGGCGTCGGACGCACTGGATGAATTGGCGCATGAGAGGGCGCTGCCACCTCGTAGACCGACATACTCGCTGACGTAGCTCGGAGCGGTGGATGACTTCTCCGACACCTGTGGCTGTGCCTGCTTTGGGAGCGCACCTGGGCAGACTAGGCTGTCCAGGACGCGCGCGACCTCATGCATGGTTGGCCGATCCGATGATTGCCTCTTGCTGCAAAGGAGTGCCAATTGGAACACCTTCTTGACCTCGCCAAGATCTTTGCACGTGTCGGTGATGTCTTGGTCGACCATCTCCATGACCGTGTTCTCTGCGGCTTTGGATAGGATCTGGAGGTAGCAGATAGCAAATGAGGACAACAACTTTCATTAGTTCAGCAAGTTACAAATACAATCATTCCTAGACAGAAGTGTTATTTCCCTGTGCCGCTAATACATCCAAGAAAGGCAGTATTAATTCAACTTTGGGATTTTATTTTAAAAAGACTAGGACGAAAGAAGTTAACAATATTACATATCAGTGATCTGTGAAAAAGTAAAAGTGTGCAGCATGTAAAATTTTCAGGCACATGATTGAAGGCAGGGGACAAGTATGGCAGGCTTTATGGGACACTGGCAAGTTATAATTGAATCACCAGCCATACAATGAATCACACCACCACAGTGAGCACAGATCTATTCACATGATGGGTTTCATGTTGCTGGTCCCCTCGGATGGAACCAGATCTAATGCACATGATTGAGTACATATTGAGCCATAAAATCCAAAGGCTTACGAAAAAAAACAAGTAAATTATTGGAAAAGTAAAAAGATACATGAAATAGTTACCAAGTGATGAAGATTGCACTCATCGTCGACAGGCTTTTTGCCAGTAAGCAACTCCAACAAGACAATGCCGTAGCTGTATACATCCGATTTCTCGTTGAGCCGGGATGTTCGTGCATACTCAGGGTCAATGTAGCCAATGGTGCCCATCACGTATGTTGATGTGTGCGTCTTCGATACACACAAGCTCTTGGCAATACCAAAGTCAGCAAGATGAGCCTCATAATCTTTGTCTAGGAGGATATTCTTTGATTTCACATCCCTGTGAATTATTCGCGGACTGCATTCATGGTGAAGATAAGCAAGCCCATGAGCAGCACCAAGAGCAATTTTGAGGCGAGCCTCCCAATCGAGTTTCTTTTTCTTCGATGAAGCTGCTAAAATTAACAAAAATGTACCAATTAGAACCATTTGCAGGAAGTTTACGATTGTCTTGTTAATGCATTGAAATACCCTAAGCAAAGGAACAGTGACAATATCCAGACATCTTTATAGGAAAGTGACCATTAGGTGCTTGCTGGCAGATGAACATGTGAAAGCTAACACAAGTGAAAAAGAGACTAGTCCTCTAAATACTATGCGCTTTGCCAAAAATGGTGCTATATGCAGCCTTACTCCCAAATGTAATCTGCATTTCACTCACCATGTAAAATGTCCCAGAGGCTGCCATTTTCCAAGTAATCATAGAAAAGAAGATTCCCAGAAGGTGACAGGGAGTACCCCTGAAGGCTTACAAGATTCCGGTGTTTGATGCTTCCAACAGTCTCAAGTTCAGTCTCAAATTCCTTCAAGCTCTGGGGGTAGTGAGCATATAGCTTTTTAATCGCAATCGGCTTGCAGTTCTTCAGATCACATCTGTAGACTGTACTTGAGGCTCCGTAACCAATAATGTATTTTTCGCTCAAATTTTCAGTCACCCTCATTATATCATCGTATACATGGAGGGCCATGTTCATGTGGAGGATCACAAGCTTGGGAGGAACGTTGCTTGATGCTGCAGCAAGGTTATCTGTCACAGTCAATTAGTAATATTATTTAATTAAGAGCCATACAAGTCACATAAATTGTCAGCACATCTGAATTCTCAACTCGGGAGACAAGAATGAAAACTCTTTGGGACAAAATGATTTGAAACTTCCAATATGACTAAACATTAACAGTTACAAAATAGCTATTAGTTTTTTTTTTTTTGGTTAGAGCAACAGATGGGAAACCAAAAAGATGTATCACCTGGTTTGTTTACAGAGACATCTTTGAGCACTGGTGAATTATGTGGCCAGCAAACAGCTACTAGGATAACCAGCAGAATAACAAGCCCTACGACACCAATACCAATAAATGCAGACTTTGGGGCCTTTGAGGTAGAGGCTGCAAACGAAAAAAGAGGGGGTGGTTTATTAGTGATTTATTTATGCTCAGAGCAACTTAATGAAGGTAACAATGTGCATACATCTCTTCATTCGCTCAGCACTGGGTAACTGTGTGCATGAAGAAGAGCGAAGCCAATAGCCACAAAGTCCAGGGTTACCCAAGAAGCTGGAAAGTTTAGATATAAATATGGATTTATGAACAAAGACATTACAAAGGAATCATTTAATCCCAGAGGACAAAGAGCACCACCTGTCGGGTGAAAATCGTGAGAAGTTGTTGTCTGTAGGTACAATACCATAAAGGTGGTTGTATGATACATTTCTGCAAAAGCGCTCAAGAATAAAGGCACCATAAGTGAAAGCCAGACACAGACGTTTAAATAACTTTTTCAGCTGTTAACTTACAAGATATTGAGACTCAAGCAGTAAGTAAGTGAAGAGACATCTCCAGTAATATTATTGCTTTCTAATTTTCTGAAAGGACAAAAAAAAGGATAAAGATCAGCCTGCAATAATTGGCACAGAATGCACAGAATACACCATTAATATGCAGTCCATTGCTTGAACCTTTTTACTGTACTTTATCGTTTTATCAGTTTTGAAATGATATCAGAGGAAACATGTACACTTACAACAGTATCAGATTTTGTAGCATCCCAACCTCTTGAGGAATCAGGCCACGGAGGTGGTTGTAGGACAAATCACTGAAATGAAATAAAATGTGTCAATGTTACTTGCATAAGGGGTCAACATAGTAGAATATTCTTTCATTATAAAAAAAAAACTAGTAGAGATTTTAGCACTGTTAGGTCAGAAGGTGTTTACATCTCCATGATGCTCCTCAAGTTCCCAAATTCAGCAGGAATGTATCCACCCACATTATTTTTGCTTAAGTTACTGCAGGAATTACAGTGATATCATATCATGACATCATTCAAACATTTGCATTAAAATGATAGGTTATAAGACTTACAGTCTCAAAAGATGCTCTAGTTTCCCAATAGCTGAGGGAATTGAACCAGTGATCATGTTACAGGATAAGTCCCTACAGATATCTTAATGTAAGATATCATAGCACCCAAAGCAATTACTTGAAAACAATGACCGATTAGCTGCTGGAACTTACAGAGTGTCTAAATTTCTCATTCTTGCTACCTCAATTGGAAGTGCTCCACTGAGATGATTTGATGACAGATTCCTAAAAGGTATGGATGAGTACAAATTATTAAGTGACATGATCAGATCTGTACTATTATATAGTGGCAGCCTAGTTGATCGATTAAAAATACAATTTAAACAAGAAATATTAGGAATCACCAAACCGCTTACAGATAAGTCAGACTCTCGAGCTTGTGAAATGAACGCGGAATGGTTCCATTCAATTTATTGCCATAAGCATTGCTGTTACAAGAGCCAGAAGGTTAAGTATCATGTATCGAACCGCCAAAGATGCCATAAAACTTCAGGAGAACAGATGGAACTTACAAACTAATGAGATTTGCACATGAACTTAAATTCTCAGGGATAGGTCCTATAAGGTTGTTGTTTGCAAGGTTCCTGTGAATAATAAGTGACAAGCGACATTGACAAACATCTAAATTAGCATTCCGTAAGCATCATATGTAACAAATATGAAAAGAAATATACTTACAATTCAAACAATTCTGTGAGTTTTCCAAGATCAGGAGGAATGAACCCAGTCAACAGATTGTCATTCAATTCCCTGAAACCAGTTGTATTTAAACTGGGAAGAACACTGAACTAACAAGAAGCAAAGTAACATAAAAACTACACCCTTACAGGTAATGCAGTGTCGACATATTACCAAGCTCTGGTGGTATCGATCCAGTTAGCCGGTTGCCTTGCAGGTATCTATCAGCACAACATACTGTGAATGGGCCTTACTTATGATTAAAAAGTTTGATGAAAGCTAGAATTTTTTGTCAGTGCAACTACGCAGGTAAAATCATCACTCATGAATCAACTATGAAACAAATGCGTAACAAATAATAAAAAAAAAGAGCTTACAATTTCTCAGTGTATGTCAAGTTGCCCAGTATAGACGGTACTGGGCCAGATAGCTCATTGAAACTCAGATCCCTGGATCATTACAAAGTAAAAAAGAAAAGAAAAGAAAGTCCATTAGTGCTACTACCTCTGCTTAAAACTCAAGAAACCTTAGAAGCCATAATTTAACTTACAGCACTGCAAGTGCCTGCATAAGGCCAATCACTGATGGTATAGGGCCAGAGAACTTGTTCCCTTGCAAAGACCTGATACAGATAATTTACATATTTCAAATCACTGCTTGCAATAATTAAACCAAAAGCATTTCTTTCAATAAACAGGATTACTATCACATACAACGTAGCCACTTGCAGGAAACCAATATTGAATGGGATTTCTCCAGTAAGGTGATTGTTTGACAAATCCCTAAAATACTGAAAGGTCAGGAATGCTCTACAAGTGAAATATTGATCAGCGTTATTCAAAAGGAATAGAATGTACATACAAGACCTGAAAGCTTGTACAGTTCCCTATGGTTTCTGGTATTGTACCCGTCAAGCTATTGTTCTTCACATCACTGAGATAAACATAAATAACATTCTGAATTTAATAAAGGGCATAACTTGCTCCGTGATTATAAATGAAGGGAGGCAATTTACTCACAAGTACCACAGACCAGTTAACTGGCACATATCGGAAGAGAGGCTTCCTTCTAAACTATTGCTTCGCAATCCCCTGCACATGAGAAATTTAGAAATGAACGAGTGTGATGAACCAAAAGGTGGCCTCACCCTACATTATGTGTATATATAGTGTAAATATCATAAATGGTTCAAGCTATAAATGACATAAAATTACTTTGTAAGCATTTGCTAGGCTCTTAAACTAGGCAACGGAGGAACTAAACAAAAACAAAATTTCGTCCTTCACAAGAAATACTTACAAGTATTGAAGAACCTCATTCCAATATATTAGATTCGAAATTTCACCACTTAGCTTGTTTTGAGCCAAGTCCCTATGGTGCATTCGCATTAGATTAAGCTCAATTAATACCACATAATATGTTATTAGGACTTACAATATCTTCAAATTTGGAAGTTGAGAGAGTGTCGATGGAATCACCCCCACCAGCTTGTTGTTCTTCAAAATCCTATGAAAACAGGAAACAGCACCACACATGATGAAACAAGCAGTGAGGATAATTTTGTTTAACCTATACCTGGCATGAAAAATATAACTTACAAGTTCTCAAGGTGCTTCAGCTTGGATATGGAGAATGGTATGTCTCCTTCTAGATTGTTAGAGGATAAATCCCTGTATCAAAACAGGAGTGCTGTTAGGGAGTATTCGTATAGAAATATAGGGATGGTAATCAAGGACACAAGAAATGTTAATTTAACAAGGAAAAAACCTGCAAAAGAGAGAGAAAAAAAGGGGGGTTGAGGCTAAATATCCAATACTGAGGGGAGTTTACAGTCAAACAAGCCAACGAATAATTGAAACTAAACCATTTTTTTGCAAAAGAAAATGACATGAGCAAAACTGAAACCTGCTTACAGAGTTTCAAGCAACGAACAATCACCAATCTCATCAGGGATCTGTCCCGAGAGTCCATTCGACTTCAAATCTCTAAACACAACCCAACATACAGTGAAAAAAAAGGGTTAAGCACAACTCAGCATCTGACGTTCATATGAGGAAACAATGCAGCATCACTACATTGAGACAACACGTTGAAGACTCCCGATGGCCGGTGAGATTTCACCCTCGAGGTTGAGCCCAGAGAGGTTGCTGCATCGCATACAGGAATGGCATCAGTAACCGCACATCGGCGTTAGCAGTAGAGTGAGAGGCCAGTGGTTTCGCTACAGGAAACTCCTTACAGCGCGGCGACAGCGAAGGTGATGTTGTCGCATAGCACGCCGCGCCACGAGCAGTAGCCCGGCGATGCGCCGTCGCCGGACCAATCGCGCAGCGCGTTGCCGCCGTCGCGGAAAGATTTCTTGATCTCCAGCAGTGTTGCCCCTGGATTAGTAAAAGCAGCGGCAGCACCAGATGAAGAAGAATCAATACAAGGAAGTTAAGGAAAAACCGGAGTTCGTTAGGCGAGTAGAAAAAATGGATATCAACGGAATACAAATTAACACCCAAGGAAAACTAACCCCAGGTTTTACGGCCAGAATAGGAAGAGAAGAGCATCCAAACACACGAAATGGCAGTAAAAACGCATTTTTACACAAAGCAAAGCGCATGAATACCAAATGAAAAAAAAAACAGAATCACAACAGGCCTCGCTCTAGGATAGGGGTGGTGTGCTCGCTAGCTAGCTAGCTAAGCTCGGGTTGCCGCGGCGCTGCACTGCAGAAACTGCTCCCCAAGGACAGCAAAGAACAGAAGATGGTACTACGAACAGGAGGCAGGATTAGATTAATCAAGTATTTTACCAATAGGAAAAGGAGCCGGATATAAACAAAGACCACGCCCCCTAATGCTAAAAGCGGCCGGCATCCTAGCAGCAGCGCTAATAAAATACCAGCACGCAGCACAGCACGAGCAAGCGCAAGCACCCGCGGCCGGCCCCTGAATCCTATCTACCTGCTCTCTCGAGCAGCGCGAAACCCACCGCCCGTAGCGTAAAACCTCTGCGGGAACCGAACCGAAGCACAGCAAGTCGGCGGGAACCAACCGTCGTCGGCGACGGCGGCGGCCGCGAGGAGGAGGGCGGCGAGGGCCCGGAGGAGGCGGGCCATGGCCGGCGCTGAGCCGCGTCGGGGTCGGGGCAGCAGTGTCATTCGCTCGCGGGGCGGGGTGGCGCGGTTTAATTTAATGGACTCGGGGTTTTTGGTTGGTTTCTCGGGATGCCGAGCCTTGCGCTCTCCTCGTGGGAAGCGTCGGGTTGGCGAGGCGAGGGAGGAGGGGATTTGGGTTCCTGTGCTGCGAGGACAGACGGTGGAAGGGGGCCACCTCCATGTGGTTCACTGCTGCATTGGTCGTCACTTCCACTTGGTCGGGGCCTGTTTAGTTCCACTTTATTTTACTAAAATTTTTAAGATTTTTCATCACATCAATTTTTAAACGTATGTATAAAATATTAAATATAAATAAAAAATAAAATTAATTATACAGTTTAGACGAAATTCACGAGACGAATCTTTTAAACCTAATTAAACTATGATTGGATACTAATTATAAAATAACAACAAAAAGCGCTACAGTTGTATTTTGTAAAAAAATTCGGATCTAAACTGGGCCCCGTTGGATGCCGGGATTACCCGGATTTTTACCGTCAGACTCCATGGATAGCCGGGGTTCTCTGCGCATGTTTGGGCGTTTGTTGGTGCTGGTACTGATTTGATTTGGTTGGTGTTGATTTTTTTAAGAGAAAAATATTGTTGGCTGACTGGTTTGGGCTGGCTGAAACCAACACGCGAACAGGCTGATATCTTAGCTGTATTTTTGAATTTTTATCAAAAGCTGGCTTTCTAGTTTTTTTTCTGAATTTTGTTTTTGCTATTAATTTTCTAATAAATTTTAAGCTTCTCAACCCAACAAAAAACTAAACAAGTTTTTTAGAGCATGCTTTTTAGTTATTATTATCGTAGTTTATTTTCTCGTAAGCCAGCTTTCTGGGTTTTTAAAAGCCAGCTCAACAACTGGGGTGCTTGTTTCAACAGAAGCCAGATAAAAATTGAAACAAACAAATCCAAAAAGTCACAAGTTGTATGCAGAGGCATGTGTTTATAAATGGTGAAATTTCAATCCTTTAAAAAGGGAGTATAAAATTCGTTTTTCGGAAAGTTAAAAAAATATCAGTATACATTATATCAAGTAAATATCATTAGATTATATTTTAAAATATCTTACATGAGCCAATATAAGGTGTTATGTTTCAACAAAGTATGTATGGATATTGTATTGTTTTATTCCATATGCTGACTTTACATTTGGTCTATTGATGTTAGACATTTCTTTTGGTGAAAACATCTTACATGTCCGAGAAACACATTATTAATAACAACAAGTTGGATGCTATCATACGTGAATTCATTTGCGGCTCATAGATAATTCCGTTTTACATCCTAATGACAGTAACTACAACCATAATACCACTTGCCTACCGTAACAGTTTTTTCTCTCACAACAAATCAGCGGGAACAGTGTTTCGGCTTGTTTTTTTAGCGAAACGAACGGGGCCAAAAGGGCAGTCGGATAACAATGACCTAGAGAATTTGACGTTGTATCGGAGATGATTTTGAACGCTGCCAAATCCAGGTATAGATTACCTGTAGCGTGAACACTTTACACACCGGCGACTTTTACACTCCGAATCGCACGTAACTGAATTTGCGCAGGCAAACGTTTTGACTTTTGAGTGAAACACCGAGAGCAATCTACATGCAAGACTGTGAGCAGCCAACGGAATGACGAAGACGAGTGTCGCGCCCTGCACTCACGCCTCACGGTCACTGGCGCCGTGGCGGGCGCGCGTGCATGGTGGGCAGTGGACACGCCCAAACTCTTCCGAAAGCACGCCGAGGCCAGCGAGGCCCGGACGCCGGATGGGTTGGCAGTTGGCACTGGCACATGCGGGGGGCAGGGCCCAGACCCTCGTCGGCGTCGCTGACACCCTCCCCATCCTGTGCGGCGCGCAGCAGTGTCGTTCTGGTCCAGGCAGAGCCGCAGAGCCATGCCCGGACCGGGGCGGCCTGTGTGTGATTCTCCACGCTCCGTGAGATCAATGAGACAATGACACCGCCTGCCCTGCCGTCTCGTCAGACACAGCTTTGAAATCGATCAAACGACCGGTCCCCCCCCAAAACACACACCCCCCCCCCCCCCCCCCACCCCACCCCCACACACACACCACCGGCCCTGTTATCATTAAAATCTCTATATTTTTTTTCTCATAATAAATCAACTTCACGATTAATTTATCAATCGACTTTTAATACTGGTAAACATAGCCCTCATCATCCTAACACAAATGCTCATGCTCGTCACCACATGTTCCGCTCTTCAAAATGGACAGAGCATAAACATACAGCGTGTTCGTTTGTTGATTTCAACCAGAGCTTATCAACCAGCTAACAGTGTTTTCCTCTCACAACAAATAAATATTAGCTGGGCTTATCAGTTCAGAAACCAACCAGCGAATAGACCGATCGTGATCAATTCTCTGGCAGATGAAACAGTTGACTTCTTAACTCTTAGTACGTAGGGTATCTTTAGAAGACGAGGGAGAAAACACAGCCGGCAGAACGCAAAGCAGCACTCAGCGGAGGCGGATATATTATATCTCTATATGACTATGTTTATCCAGGGCACACTGTAGTTTGCCATACATTCATGAAACAGCAGCATGGATTCTGTTCTCCCGGTAGACGGTGATGGTGATTCTCTCTCTCTCTCTCTCTCTCTCTGCTAGTAGCAGCATATGATATGCATTCCAGATTTCCAGTAGCAGCATAAAGATACCTCTGTAAAGTAGCATGCACAACATAAGAACGGGCCATGGTAAGATTAACGACCTACTGTGCCTCTCAGGAGTCAGGATTCATTCTTGCTTCCGGCGGCAGAGCAGCGGCCTTTCTGGATTAGCATGTGCGGTGCCGACTGGCGACTGTGGAAAGCTTTGCTCTGCTTACCCCAAACACACCATCTCAAAAGACTCCCCGTGCTAATGTTCCACGGGTTAATCATGCCCCATTCTTGAGCAACCTGATTTTTTTAAAGGTAGCAGCCTGATCTTTGAAGGGACGACGACCATGAACAAAGCCGAAGGGCTGCGTCGGCACGGGCGCGCAATGGCGCCTCTCTCGTCTGAAACATTCGCAGTATCATTCGTGAGACCTTCTGTTCATCTGAAGACTGAAGTTCTCGCGGGGCTGGCTCCAGCCGTCCGGTCACATGAAGCATGTATATACATATGTGTGATTGACTGCAGTCTGCAAACCTGAACAGATGAATGCGCATGCGCTAGTTACAACAAGCTTGGAGCTTGTATATCTATCTACCGTAGACTTGGGTATAAAAGATAGTGGATATGGTAGAATTCTGCTAAAACGTAGACTTGTCCTTGGATTTGTTCCCTACTTGTGATGTTTTGTCTAGCTCCATTAGCGGGAGTATTTTAGTCTTTTGTCACCTATCAGCGCTTTTAGTCCAAATTGTTGAGGTCTCTTGTGTCAACTATAGTAAGCTAATAACTAGTTTGCATTAGAACTAATTGTTAGTCTAACTATTAGCTCCCCTATTTGGATAGACTAAGACTATAAATTAATTGACAAACAATTAATTTCATTATGTATCAAACCGCACCTAATTAGATGCATATATGCGTGAGTATCTGCAACTCCATCGAAGAAAGAGCACGCAAGTTTCATAAGGCTTCATACGTACGTGGTGGACGGCCAGTGCCCAGTGCCATGTGTCCCGTACGTCCATTAACAGACCCTTTCTGAAGACGGCAATATTCAGGTCAAATCTTCCGGTACCATTGTACATTGTATACTGTACCGGGAGCGTTTCCATTATCCTATTAAACATTTAGACATAGGTACGGAGTATTAAATATAGATTAATTATAAAACTAAATACACAGATTGAGATTAATTTATGAGAAGTTTTTTAACCTAATTAAACCATGATTTGACAATGTGGTGCTACAGTAAATATATGTTAATAACGGGTTAATTAGGTTTAATAAATCCATCTCGTGGATTAATAACGGATTCTGTGTTTTTTTATTAGTATTCAAATAACCCATACAACATCTCATGTGACATCCGATGAGACATCTCTTCAAACTTTAGTTCTCCATTCAAACACCTCCTTAATATAATTTAGTCCCTGCCGCCAGCACTAGTAACAAGACTGGATCCGGTACACGCACGTACTATACCTCACGCCTATTTTTACCATGCACGCAGACGCAGCAGCAGCAGGTGAGGGCGACTCTCTCCGTAGCACGTACGTATTGACCCATCTGGATCTGGTACTCTCCCCTGCTGCCCTGCTGATGAAATGCCGAGTAGTAATATCACCTGCCCGACTGCCCGAGACAAAATTTCCACATCGTATGCCCGTAAACCGGACGAAAGGAAGGACACGAAATGAATGTTGGGCTGGTGACTACGTACTGCTAGTTTCATTATAAATTACAACTCATTTCCAGAATCTTGGAGAGCCAAGCGATCTCAAGTTTGATCAAATTTATATAATAAAATATTAATATTTATAATAATATATTTTTATAATAAACATATTTAATATTATAAATTTTTATAATTTTTTCTATAATTTTAATCAAATTTAATATATTTTAACTATTCAAGATTCTTAGAATGACTTCTAATTTGAAATGGATGGACAATGTAGTAGTACTGAGAAGGCCACCCGGCCGCGCACAAGCAGCGAGAGCAGAGAGCTACCCACTGCTCGAGCTCCCGAACAAGGTCGCGCCAGTGGTGAGCCCATGTCCCCATGCTCCTAATTCGAACTTTTTCGTTAACTTAGTAGCGTGTCCATGCGTTACTACGGGATATCTAATATTTTATATTAAAAATACACGGATCACATGATAAGATAATGTAACACCCTCGGTGTTACACCCTAAATCAATTATTAAAACATGTCATGAGCATCATGTTTATGTGTTAATGCATGTGATAAAGTGTGTAGATCAATTTCTGTAACTCAAAATGATCAATAAAAATGCTAAACGAAAGTTAATTCAATAGTTCATGCATAT